CTTTTGGTCCGGTTGGTGTTACCTACAGGGACTAAATGTCCTCCTGCCTGGGCGCCCCGCAGCGGCCACGTGAAGCCCCGTCGGTCCCGGTTCGTAAGCAAACCGGGACTAAAGATTTTGGGCTATAGTCCCGTTTGATTTGTCCCAGTTCCAAAACCGGGACTAAAGGCCCTCTGAAACCGGGACTAGTACCCTGTTTTCTACTAGTGTTGCAGCCGGAGCTGTGATTCTGGCACCACTCTCCTCTTGGTTTAATTACATATTCGAACTGAGATATCACCATTCACATTGAGCTGAAGCAAATTCGGGTTACAACAAAAACAGAAGATGCAGAGCCTCCTTGCAATTTATGCACACATAGCATAGTGGCACTCGCTTATTAGATGCTACGGAGCATATGGCAGTTCTTGACATATGGAATGAACAAAGGCGTTGGAAATGGAGTGCGTGTGCTTGCCGATAACCTGAGAAAATAGCCCATACAATTGACAATTTCAGTCCATGGTGCCGCCGAGGAGGCTATCCAGTAGTTTGGAAAAGGGTGCCGACAGATGCGGTCTTTCAGGAACTGGAAGGCAGGTGAAAGTTCCACCTGGAGAATTTTTCGCAATGTCTTGGAGACCCTAGCATATACATAAGAGATATGGATACATTGAATTAGTTAGCAAGCAAGAATTTTCACTGGAGTAGCTCTGACTTCATACATACCTGGTTATACGCGTCCCCACCAAGGGTAAATGTGTGAACAGGCACTGTAGAGACGAATTTCTCTGTTCCATCAAAGAAGTCACCCTTGTTTATCAATCCATCAGAGAAGAACAAGATGATGCCATTGCGGTAACCGCGGCTGCTGACCATTTTATGTGCCTCAACAAGGCCTGATGCCATGTTTTTAGTGCACGTCATCCTGCGCCTGGCGAATCCAGTGTAGCCAGTTTCCTTTGTCTCGGCTGAGTCAACTACTTTCATGTCCGATGTGTATGTGTTTGGGGTCGACATGACGTAGATGTAACCCATGCAACTGTCAACATAGTGGGTGAGCTTCTCTTGCACCAACCAAAAGACCCCACTATCCACCGTGTACCACGCTGGGGTCGAGTTGGTGCAGTCAAAGGCATACACGATCACCACATCTAGTGGATCCCTTCCTGCAAACCAGTATGGACAATTGGTCATCCACACATCGTACTATGCATGTTTGTGATGATTACAAATTCGGACTGGATTGGATGTTCTTATGTATATATATATATATACCTGAAATGGAACTAAGAGGTCTCTCAACATCCTCCGGGGTGCCCCCAAGGAGGCTATCTAGTAGCTTGGAGAAGGGTGTTGATAGATTTGGCCTTTCTGGAACAGGCTTGGTGTGAAACTTCCCTCCTGGAGAATTTGCCGCAATGGATTGGAGAACCTAGCATATATACAATACATAGGAATAAATTACTTATTCATGAGCCGATCATTATTTAGATAGATAATCTCTAATTCGATACATACATTGTTATACGTGTCCCCGGCAAGGGTAAATGTGTGGACGGGCACTTCGGATATGAAGTTGTTGGTTCCATCAAAGAAGTCACCCTCGTTCATCAATCCATCAGAGAAGAACAAGATAATGCCATTGTGGTGCCCACGGCTGCTGATCATTTTATGCGCCTCTGCAAGGCCCGATGCCATGTTCTTAGTGCAGGTCGTCCTGCGCCTAGCGAATCCTGTGTAGCCAGTTTCCTTTGTCTCCGCCGAGTCAACTACTTTCATGTCTAACGTGTATGTGTTAGCAGTTGACATGACGTAAATATAGCCCATGCAACTATCGGGGAAGTGGGCCAGCTTCTCTTGCACCATCCAAAAGATCCCATTATCCACTGTGTACCAGGCTGGGGTCCAGTCAGTACAATCAAAGGCATACACAATCACAACATCCAGTGGCCCCCTTCCTGCAAACCAGTATAGACAATTAATTCATTCATATAAATTTTTGATGTTGATTCCTGACATAATTGTACTGGATGCCTCTATATACCTGAATTGTCACTGGAGAGCTTGTTTGGAACATGGCGGGAGGAATTCACCGTGAGGGTATGGAGACCCTGGAATATACACAACAATACAAGACATTGAAAGAAAGAAATTAATAAGCTGATAAAATATTTGGACTAGAGCACATATAAAAGTTGCTTAAACTATGTTTCGACTCCTCTTCAATCTCCTAGGATTTAGTTGGGACACGAAACAGAGAAGCATTTTGGAAGCACGTTCCCACCATGGTCACAAGTCAAGTGTAGGAAGCTTTACGAGCCAAAGTGCATCAACATCAGTTGAGTATTGAGATCCAACCGCTGCCCATCATAGTGGGTCTCGGGCTATTGTCAAAACTGCTTATTATTTTTGAAAGATAACTGCTTATTATAAATTTTCTAACACCTACAACCTGTAGATAACATTATCCATTTGGAGGCTAATGCTTTGGGTAAGAATAAACACAATAAAGATTACACGATGCTGTCACGCTTCCATTAATCCTGTTACCTTTCTGGATCATACAAATACTATAATCATGCTTTAGAAACAGATAAGTAGATGTCAGCGATGGTACCTTTCCCAAAACCTGAGTTTCCATATCATTCAAGTTCACCATAATCTCCTTCATTGTGGGCCTTTGGTGTCTGTCAGTATGCATACAGCATATTGCAATTTTGGTGCATGTCTCTACTTGATATAAATCTGCTGTATTATCCCTCTCCCTCCAATATGTACATACCTGTAATATGGATAAGCAAAAGGTTTAGCAGTAACATCATCAGATGGATAATTATTTATCTATATGATCATAACACCAGATCGACCTGTAAGCATTAAATTAAACATGTTGGTGATAAAAAAAGTTGTTCGTACATACTCAACAAATTTCTTGGCGCCATGTTCGCGATAAGTTTCTAAACCGCCAGATCCTCCAATTACATCTATGATTGTAACACCTAAACTAAAGACATCAGCCTTATCTGACACCACGCCCTCTTTTCTTACTTCAGGCGCCATGTAGTTCCTGCATGAAATCAATTTTTTTAAGGGCACAATCATCACCACTGTCTGTTTGCTTACAAGACAAAACCAAATTATCTCAAAATTAATGATGCATTCCACTGTGCTCACGTTGTCCCTGAAACTGAACCAATGACTTTTACATGGGTACGGCTTGTAGTGTAGATCCTTGACAATCCGAAATCTGCAATTTTTGGATTCTTGCGCTTGTCAAGTAATATGTTGGCAGGCTTTAAATCCAGGTGGAGGATTGGACGCTCGCACCCACAGTGAAGATAACATAAGCCTTCACAAGTCCCTTTTATTATTTGGTAATGCGTGGGCCAGTCATGTCCCAGGGAATTTCCTGCAAATTTAAAGAGCATGGACAATTACTGAGTAAAATGGAATTGAAACTTTTATTTCTAAATTAACATGGAATAGAAGAGAATCGGATTGAAGTTTACCAGAAAGATGCTTGTCTAGGCTGGTACCGTGCATATATTCGAAGCAGAGCACTTTGTATATGTGTTTACCAAAAACAGAAGAGCCATCCTTTTGCTCAATATATTCGCTGGTCACTTCATTACAATAACCAACAAGTCGTACAATGTTGGGATGTTGGACCTTCATATGATTACTGAGTTCGTTCATAAATTGTTTGTCGTCAATTTCTTTGGCTGAATCAAGCAACTTCACTGCTATCTCTTCCTTCTTGTAAACTGCCTGTTTGCGTTTAAGAAAACTAATTAATAATACTTCCTCCACTCTATCAAACTCTATGTTATAATGTGTATTATTACTTTTTTAAAGCTAATCCTTCCAACCTTTGACCATTTTTTTACATAACATTATCAGTATTTACAATACAAATAAATAAATAAAATATAAAACCATATTTCATGATGGATATACTGTAGGAAGAAATTCCTACAGTTTTGGGTAAAAATGATATTAAGTTGGTATTATATATAGATGCATATATTTTTTCATAAACTTGCTTAAACATAGAATGCTTAAGTTCCGAAAAAATAAATGCACTTTATAGAATGGAACTTAATACTATGTTTTTTTTTGCGAGAAAGAACATAATACCATGTTGACCATTAGTACCTTGTAAACTTCTCCATAACCACCTCTTCCAATTTTATGGGTGTCCGAAAAATGGTTGGTAATTATTCTCAGGTCAGATAAGTCTATCCGTGGTATCATGCTTCAACCACTGTGTACACGCTATATATAGCAAGGTTGGTGTGCCTTTCTCTGCACATATATAAAAAAACATCATCAACATCGGTATACAGAGAGCACGTAGGGTATATACGGTTGTAACTATCTGAGCAGAAACATGTTTTCTGCCCGATTTGAAAATTTCCGGCTCAACCTGGGATAGCCACAAGCATCAGCGGATTCTGACAGTGGGTGCCAGGTATGAGGTGGTATGAGGTAGAAGGTGGCAGCGGGACAGGCAAAGAAAAGAGTACGGACCGCTGGCGTCGATGGCATGGCAGCAAAGCAGGGTGAGAGGCGCTCAGGGTTCAATTCTGCAGGTGAGATTCTTTGTGTGTTGGCAGCTGATAAGAGGGGTGGATCGTAGCCTCGTGTATGCACTGTCGTGGGCGAATTTCAAAGATTTTCCAAAGCTCGGCTGATATATATCAATTTCAGTGGCATAATTTGTATTTGGCCGAATTCTTTCAAGAACAACCACGTACGGCAGTTATGATATTTTGCGGAAGTACCGGCCAGATCTGGCTAGGGGGTACGAATTCTTAAAATGGAATTATATAGCCTTTCCATGGCGGAATGGAAGTCGCAGGATCTGCGTAAAATCAATTAGAAGACGAGATCGAAGATGTAAGCAACTAACCTCCTTGAATGTCCTGCGGCCGCGTGAGATGCCCTGCTCGCTCACACTTATTAAGCCAGCAGATCGATATCTATATTTGTTTGGGCGCCAGAGGGTATGTTGGCCCAAGTTTCTTTGCTTTATCTCAATGGATGGATGTTCCAAGTTTGTTCGCTAGTTGTGTAACTTGTCACAACTGCAGAACTGCTCTTTAAGACCTCATCGCATAAGGGTTGCTCCGACTTACGTGTGATGTGATCAGCACAAGGTGTGGATTCAACTTGATGGTCCTTAGTATCCTCTAACCCTCTAACCCTCTTTAGTTCAGTCAACTGAACTGAAATTTTCAGCTCAAAAAAAAAAGAGAGCTGAAACAGTGGCGTAGCCACATCAGAGACACGCCCCAGGATAAGCTTGTTGCTACAGTATTAACAGTACCAAACAGTGCTACTGCTGCTACAGGTAACGAAGCAGCAAGTTGCTACGCCCCAGGTCACACCCCTAGTAGCCTGGGCCCTAGCTACGCCACTGTGCATAACTGCTTACGGCACCCGTAAACTTTCCACATCGGTCAGGACCACGCTGTGCAGACTACGAAAGCCATCCAACATGGTCCTGTATCGATCTGCGGGGCGGTCTAACCGTAAATTTGTGACAAAGTAGGGGAAGGTTTGCATGACTCCGGACAACAGACACGTAGGACTCCGACACCACCGGCCCACCCAATCCCCCTCGCGGTCCCATTTCTTTCCACTTCGTCCCTTCACCCTTTGCTTTGCAACAGCACCCTCCACCTCCACCGCCGATAATGTACGTCTTCGGCTGCCATAGAGCCATTGCCGGATGTCCACAACCAGTACCGACGCGCCTGCTCGCCTTTACAACGAATTTGTCCACCCTGGAGCCGGCAGACATCACGCCCGTTAGGTGTTCAGTCAAATGACATTGAGCTTATTTTCAAATGTTATGTTATTTTTCAAAGTACGCAGGAGGTGAGCTACTCGACCATGGAGGATGAATTATTGTGAGACGCGTGGTTGGCCATATCTGTGGATTTCATAGGAGGGAGCAGAGGAGAGGCCTTCTGGCAACAAGTGCATTAAATGTTTCACGCACGAAAACACATTGCGCCCTATGACATGTACATCATTCAAGAACGCAACATGAGGTCGTTATTGTATCTCTTGCACACTATGCAGACCAGCGTCACCATGTTTTGCGGCGAGATTCGTCATCTCAAGGCAAGGTGGCCATTGCACGCAGTAGAGGACAACATCGTAAGTTTTGTCTTCCTATTGCTCAGTTTGTTGATTGGTTCATTCACTCAATGTTGGTCTACACATTATTGGATGAAACTGACGGACGACCATTTAGAGCATCTCTAGCCGCGCCCCCAACAAGGCCCCCCAGGCGACTTTTTGGCCGCCGACGCCAAAAAAACGGTCCAGTTGCGCCCCCATGGGCCCATTTTTCGCCGGCTTGGGTCGAAATTGTCGCCGGCGGACCCAACCCGAACCCGCCGCGCTGGGGGGGGCGCTCGGGGGCGCCGGGCGAATCGTTTTTGGCGCGAAAGCGCCGCGTGGCAGCCGCGTCGTGGGGCAGCCGCGTCAGCCACACCGACCTCCTCGTCTTCCCGACGCCTCGGTTTCCCACGGGGAATCAATGGTAAGGCTGTCGTCGGTCAGCTTTTCCATTGATTCCTTTGACGGGCGGCGCGTCACAGGGCGGCGCGCCGACGCCTCCCCTCCCTCAGCTATATATGGTCTCGCTGGCCAGCGTTGGAGTGCCACCACAACCCTCCCTCTCCCGCCGATCCCTCTCCCGCCGATCTCTTCTCCCCAGCCACTCCCTCTCCCCGATGGCCGAGCGTTTTCCGGGAGACGAGGCGGTGGCCAATGGCTTCGGCCGCCGTTCGCTCCGCGAATAGGAGTCCTGACTCCTGTTCCTGGCAAACATCCAGGCGCCGCCGGACATGCGCGTCGGGCCGACGGGCTGGAGGCTCAGCAATGGGGGAGTGCCCATTCCCCCGTTGCCCGACGCCGTTACCAAAGCCATCGTACTTCGCCGATGAGGTCGAGATCGCGCGCGCCTCTCTCACCGACGCCAAGCGCTCCCTTCCCCAGTACACCGCCGACAACAACGCAGCGTGGGCGGCGTACTTTGAGCGCCGCCAGCAGGAACGGCTGGCGTCCACCAACGGGGCGCCGGTGGTCGGCGGCACCAAGAACAACGATGGGCGTCACCTCTGGTGGGGCGTCCCCGGCCGCACCCTCGACGGCGTGCTGGCGCACCTCGAGGGCGGCAACAACCCACCGTTGGCATACCCCCCAGCGAGGACGGCCGCCCCGACGCACCGCCGACGCGATGGGCAATGGGCGCCGAGGAGGTTCGGCTCCTCCTCCTCCTCTTCCTCATCGCGTTCTTCCTCCCATTCCTCCGGCACTCCATCGCTGCTCGGCGTCAAGGCCGAGCCCGCGACGGATACGCCGCTCGGCCGCCACACACGCAGCGCCGGCATCGTCATCAGCGAGGGCGGCCGGCGCGGCTTCCTCGTCGGCTCCTCCCCCGCGCTTCGTCAAGCCGAAGACGGAGCCGGGTCTCCCGCCGGTGAAGACGGAGCCAAGGCTGGCTCCGGTGAAGACGGAGCCGGCGCTGCTGGCGCCGGTGAAGGCGGAGCACGGCGAGGTCGAGCTCGACGACGACGCGACCCTTGAATGGGCACGCCAAGACTCCCTGAAGATGGCGAGGGAGCGCCAGCACTCCGCCCTAGAGCGGTTCGCGCAGCGCCGCCGAGGCCGCGACCAAGGCGTCGTCGTCATCATCGACGACAGCGACGACGACGACGCGCCGCCGCCGCCGCCACCAGCCGGGGAGGGGTCCAGCAGGGGCGCCCGAGTCAAGGAGGAGAAGGCCGACGATGGCGTGACGACGACGACTTCTCGGCCTTCAGCAAGTTTTTTTTACTAGTTTTTATATGTAATAGCGTGTTTTAGCCCAAATTTACGAATATAAAAGCCCATGTTTGCCGAAAAGTGGCGTGTTTCAGCCCAAGTTTGTCTAATTTTTTTTTTCACGCCTGGGGCCGGCCCTGGGGGCGGCGGCTGGGGGCCAACTCGCCCCTAGACCCACTTTTTGCGCCAGGTCACCCCTAGGCGGCGATTTTAGGCGCCCCCTGGGGGGCCAACGGCTGGAGATGCTCTTACATGCACACACTGTTGGATGAAGCTGAAAGGGGTGTATGTGTGGAACGACATGATCCGTTGATGAAAAACTTGTTGGACATCTAGAATCTAGTCGAATTTGAGACATTGTTGCACTAGACTTAATTTGCATGCTATGTATAATGATTTTTACTATTTTCTATCAAACTTTGATGAATATAGATCAGTTTGCATCAATTTTATCCGATTTGTTTAAATGCGGGTTAAATGTATGCGGCTATGATTGGATGACGGTCTCCCGCATCCGTCTCGATGGACTGGTCCCCTATCCACGGGCAAATTCTGGAAAAAAAAATCTATGGATTGCAGTTGAAGATGCCCATATAGGTGAAAGTTTATGAGTGACGGCCACACATTTGCACGTGTCAATCTGGCCAGTTACCATTTTAGTGCCGGGTGCAAAGTCGTTCCCGTCACTCCAATTTAGATACCAGCAGCGGCCGCCACAGATGACATCGGATCGGACGAGTCATGGGCCAAAATTACGATTGGCAGGCACAATTAACTAAAATTTCAAAATCACATCACTTTCACTACTGCAAAACTGCTTTTTACCTCTAAAAAATTACATCTATTATAAAAGTTCAACGAAAGCATAAAGTATCTCAAACATACTAAAAATTGCTAGGGGAATCCCCGCTGCATCCCGACACCGGCGTCGCTCCAGCCCACCACGCCATCGCCTTCGCCATCGCCACCACCACCCTGCTCCACCCCTTCGTCGGCCATCAAGCCTCCCCTCCGGCAGCTCGCCTCCTCGCCTCGTCATCCTTCCAGCTCGCCTCCTCCCCCGATGGAGAGCTGGCCATGGCAGCCACTGTTCGGCCTCTATACAGGCTTGCCCGAAGTGGGCTCCCTCTACCGGGCCCAAACTGGCGCCCAACAGGCCGGCGGCTTCCCAGCTGGGCTGCAGCGCAGGGAGAAGCTACAAACGCTCCCGAACGGGTTGAGAATCGCCACATGGAGTTAGCAGCTACGTTGAGAAGCTAAATCTGTGGAGTTTGGGAAGCTTGGAGGACTTCAGAACACGCTCTTAGAGCATGTCACTAGTCTGTATAATTAAAAGTCAATACCATTTGACCTATAAGTCCAAATTAATTTATTTTATTTACTTTTTTCCGTAAAAGTTTATGTCCAATAGA